GGCTCTTGGGTTTTAGGTGAACAACAGTATAAAAATATGTTTTCGATAATGCTGTCGTCTGGATGGTAATTACTCTTTCTTTTATTTCTAGTTCGTTTACTCTGTTTCCTAGGTTCTTCGAAACTGTCTCCAGTGCGCCAGCAATTACTGTAACGACTGTCACTTTCCACAGATTCTTCGGTTCCCTGGCAAGGTTGGGATATGTATCTATCTTTTTCCTTTCAGCAAAAGTAATAACAGTCGCTGCAATTTTCGTTATATGTTTGTAATGTATTTTTAATGTAACATTTTGTCCTTGGCCATTTGTGCGAAAACGTGTGTTATTTCAATTCTCTAATTTTATTTTTTTCTTTTGGAATTCTTTGTTAGGTTTTAAATTTGTTCATTTTTATATTATTCACTTTATTTTTCGGTCTCATTAATTAATTTTTTTAAAATTTTCTTTTCTTTTTTGTGCATCGTTCAAGATTTTTAACACTTACGGATCAAAATCAATTCTTATTTAACTCCAAAAGCAAAATACTGAAAGAAGAGAAAAAATATTTTAGCGATCCTGTGAAATAAAGATAAAACCTTGAATGAATTTTCGCCGACTTCATCAACGCTAATCTCTCAAGTCATTTTTCCAGCTGTTTTCCGTAAAAAGGGGGAGGGGTAAAATAAAACAATTAAAGACAAAACAAAAAAAAAATGCGTTTAAGCTTGATTCGATATTCATTTGCGTTTGCACGCTTTTTGTAATTTTTAACTCGTCGTTCCTAACTAGTCGTCGGCCATTCACTGGAATACGCGTCAATTTGCGCATGCGCGCGCCATCTTGTGAACGAAAAAGACAATTGATTCTAATGGCAGATTCTGCAGTGAGTATATCCTCATCAAGGCTGCACTTTGATTAAAAAAAATAGAAATTTAAAAGAATGCAAAAAAAAAAACGAAATTAAATAAAAGGCCTTTGTTATCAGAGGAAAGGTGAAGAGATAAGAGCTGTATTGATCCGAGGGACATTTTAGATTGGAAAGGCATTCTGATTAATAATAAGACATTCCAACTACCTAAAAAATGAGTTTTCCTCTTTTCTGATTGCTGATTAGTGGAGAGTGTTTAAATTAGTGGAGTGATCTGATTGGTTGGAAAATAGTATGAAGCGTGTTCAAGAGTTGAGACAACAACAATAAGATAGTAAATAAATGCAGGGAGTTCGCCCCACCCTCGCAAAAAATAAAAATAAAATAATACGATCGGGTAAAATAGTGATATCCCAGAACTAATGCAACTTGACAATGAATGAGCATCATACAGAAAACATTAATATACGCAGACTTACCAGCTTCATCTGGTATAAGGATCAAGGCCTTAGAGCGCCCATTGAGAATTGACTTCATACACAATGGCTTTATGAGAATATTCTACTAAACATCTCACCTCCGTAGAAAAGAAATCTATACTAGATTTTTTGCGGTGTCTTGCTGAATTTTACTTTGCAAATAGAATCGGATATTCAATTACTGGCAATATTGAATCATTGTTTACATTATTTACATTATCCGGACTGTTGTCCTCATCTTTGTTGTCATATTCACAACGTTTCTTCAGGCGATTGGAATTTCGAACCAAACCCTTTATTTCGTTCGTTGCAGTAAAAAATGTTTACTGAAACATTAGGTTTATAAATCCCAAAAATCCATACATTCAAGGAAACATGGCCCAGTGGATAAAAGCGTTTGTTGAAGTAATCCAGTCACTTGACCCAAAGAGTTGTGATTTCAATACCTGGTCACAGAGCAGAGGTGAACAAAAATTTGGAGGTGAGTTAAAGAGAAATAACTGAAACTGTATTATCCGAAAGAGGCATGGCACGTGGAAGTAGAATAATCTACCTACCCCCGTACGGTTCTAGATTCCAATCACTTGAAGAAGGACTGAGCATAAAACGGCCGAAACGTCGTGAATATGACAACAAAGATAAAGACAAGAGTCCAAACAATGTAAATAATTCTTTAAAATATTTTTATGAAAGAATTTGTTTCGCGACCATCGAGTATTTTACTATTTAATGATTACGCTTGCTGTTAGCCTTTCTTGTATTTCAGTGCCTAATGAATTATTACAAACGTACAATGGGTATTCAAAATGTTGGTGGAAAAATGGAATTAAAAGTAAACATATTTTAAGTATAAGCTCTAACCATCTGTGTACAAACTCCATCAACATAACGGTACTTCTATAAGCAGTGATACCAACCATTTATACTTGCAATGTCAGAAGAACCGAATGTTCTGAGAATTTAACCATGTCAAAGCAGCCTTTACGTCATTAATGATCTCAAAATGTGTACCATTCAAAACATTTTAAGGTTAAGAAATAAGAAAAAGTCATAAAATCAGGACTGTAAGGTGAATGTCTAATGATATCACAAAGATGAAGACAACAATCCGAACAATTTAAATACTTACAATAACTCATCTCAGAAGTATAGACAGATATCGAATCATTGGTTCAAATGAGGTAGCTTAATATATTCGTATTTCATGTAAGACACCGTGAAAGTTATTGACGTGTGTATTTTATAGCGTATATAGCATATTACTACATTATCGCGAATTTGAGGATTACGTAACTGGCATCGACATTCGGAAAAATTGCGAGTTTTGTGTCTTTTAAACTAATTAACATGTTACATCTAAATATATTTTCCGTTTTCTTTCGCAGATAAAGAGATATATAAAATCTTACATCTATCGAGATTAACAGTAGAATACAAGTTTATTAGGAAACGATTTTAAGTTTCCAGACTCATTAAAAAACGAGAACGACACAAAATAAAATTAGGTGACTTTAAATCAAATGTTGAAAGTGGGGTGAGGTGTGCTAAATAAGATATTCAATTTTAAAGACACTTGATTCTATATTTTATGCGATCTACTCATAAAATGAACATTTTTAGAAATATAATTGCATGGGAATTAAATCCTATATATATCTCTAGATATTTATCGACCTATAAAATCCCATCAGAAGGTTTGTTTCATAAACAGTAATAACTAGGGAAAATTCTGCATAAATACTTGCAGTCGTGGTTGTAGACCTACCACGCGTTATTTTTGGACCATTTAGAAAATAGCAATAATAAATCCCTTCACCACACCCGCGAATTCGGGGAAACATTTTTGCAAGCCAGTGTGAAATTATTTTCTAACTAATGAAAACCTTGTAATCAAAAAGTTCACACCTCTATGTGAAATTAGATTTTGATCTCCCCCAAGTATATAAAAATAGAAGCTTACTACGGCTCGGGGTTCAAAAAAATGTCGGAGATATTGACCACGCACTGACAGAACATATTAAGATGAACGTCATAAAGTAAGTCTGCTCACACATTTCACGCCGCTATTAAGATACAAGGGGTTACAAAGCATGGAGAAATTAGGAACAGAAATATTGATAATGAGCGGGAAGAGGAAACAGTAATCATGAAGATCGTCGATAACTAGTTACATTGCATTTAAACATTTGCAGATTAAAGTTGGCTGCAAATTATGGAGCCAGAAGGGAGTTCAATAAGCGAGAGAAGAAACTGTTAGCATAGAACTTACGGCTACATCTAGCCAGCTCAACTGTAAATTGATGAGACCTCGATGCCAGTCTAGTACCGCGCTTAAATTCAAAAAGTCTGCGTACCACAGCGAAGAGCTCATCCAAACAATTACCATGAAAATATTTATAGAAAAGGCACAGGGAAGCTATATTACGGCAGTGGGAAAGTGATTGAAGTCTAGATGCCAGGTTATGACCAATGACATTGCAGCTTCTTCTTTGGATTTTATCAAGAATCTTTAAATAAATAGCGGGAGCACCAGACTATATGTGGCAGCAAGATTTTCAACATGGACGAATAGTAGACATAGATATGTAAGATAAAATCAGGAGAGAAACATTATCTAGCACAACAACCAACCTATCAATGGATTCAATATTATCTTCCACTTCATATAAAAGGTGTGTTGTTGTTGTTAAATGTTTGGCGTCCCGACACTCGAATAGCAACAAAAACTTGGACCCACGAATCCCAACGGACTTGTGCGCGGGTATGAAACATAGAATTCATTTAAAAATTGAATCAGAGATATGACAACATAAATATATGAAAAGTTCAAATAAACACAAAAGTCTTTGTATAAAGACACTTGCGCACACACACACACACACACACACACACACACACACACATATATATATATATATATATATATATATATATATATATATATATATATATGTATTTGAAATTCTTAATAAAAAAGTTAGCATGTATCTACTTTCAAATGATTATGTACCAAAAACAATATGAATTATGTACTTATCTGTTCGGTTTGTCTCGAACGTGAAATGTATGCGTCTTGATGTCTTAACTTCCTGGAGCAAAAGATCTAAATTGACTTTCATGTCTAAGGGTGTCTCGTGCAGTCCTCGTCAGATCACTTGACTATTTTCTATTCTCGTAAATATTTATAATTAATTTTTATAGCTATTTTTGTTTGGTCAAGGGGGGGTATAATATTTTTGTTTCTCGCTACAGCCTTTTCCAGCAGTGAAGACTTATTTAATCATTTTAGAAGCTAATGTTTTGGGATAAAAAAGAAAGATGCTTATTTGCTTTATTTTTAAAATCAGTGAAACTAATGTTTTAGACAAAGGATACATTTCAGTTTAGTGGCATTGACTGAGGCTAAGAGAACAAATTTACACTCCTATTTGGATCTCAGCTTCAGCCAAAGATGAGATAGGGCTTCAGAACCCACTTTCTATTTCCTCCTGTGGCGCTGAGAATGATAAATATATATTCTACATCCAAATAAATGAGCATGAGGAAAAAAGCATTTTAAAAGAAGTTTCGTCCGCAATGAACTACTAAGAAAGATTAAAATCGTTTCGACCATTTTTAAATGTCATCAGAATATGAGATTAGCATTGGTGCTCAGAGTTTTGTCATTGGTCTTTCCTTAGCAATCGCGGGAAATTATATTGATGAAGAAGCAATGATGAAAATAAAACATAATGAAGGAGAGAAAAGAAAGAAATGATAAAGAGAAAGTGGTATAAAAAGGAAACGAGGAAAGAGAGTAAATAAAAAAAAGGAAATGAATAAAGAAATCGCGAATGAAATAATAAAATAACCAACTTATGTAAAAAAAAAAAAAAGTAACAAAAAAATGACATCTATAGTAGACGGTCTTGTGGTAAATTTCAGGAAAATCTAATCCAAATTTTGCTCCACTGCATCCAATTTTGCATAAAACAAGCAAATTGAATAAGATATAAAATGTAAAAAAAAAAAAAAAAAATGGCACACAGCCTTACCTTCTGTTTAGACCAGGGGTTTCCTAACTTTTTTGCGTCATTGCCTACGTTCACATGGAAATTTTTTTCCACCGCCTACCTGTATAGAAAATATTCAAAAGCATACCATGATTGTTTGGTAAAAGTTGGTTACTAGTTCATAAACTGAGTAAAAATACCAAAGGGAGGTAACAAATAATGCTGACTTATGTGGCTGCTGATGCTGCCATTAGAAACGCAAACAAATCTGACCATTGAAAACTAGATAGAAAATACAAAAAAAATATTTCTTGTTTGCAGAAATATTTTTGGCCCAGTTATTATCACTTAGTTTACTGTTTTTTACCGGTTCTTTGCATATCTCTTTTGATTTGATTTGATTTGATTTTTTATTTATTTATTTATTTATTTATTATTTTATTTATTTATTTTTTTTTTTTTGCAGTATATGTTGAAATACTTTTTTAATACTCGAATCCCTATATCGCCCACCAAAATTCCGAATCGCCCACCAAAATTCCGAATCGCCAACCAGTTTATGTTCAGTTGTTCATTGCCCACCCAACAGTTGAAATCGCCTACCGGTGGGCGATATCGCTCAGGTTAGGAAACCCTGCTTTATACGTTGAAAGTCATAACTTAATGACTTTATGAGAGTGGCTAGACTATTAAATATGTCAATTTAATTTTAAGAAAACGCACATACAAACACATACACAGTAACAAACTGCTGATTTTCTCAATATCATTGGTACCTTGAAATTAAAGTGTAGCGGCCAGTAGCTCACTTGCGTGGTTGCCTAATTGTGAAGGGTGTCGAGAGGCAGGCTTGAAATTATATCAGCAGGCTAAGAAGAATGGCTTACCGAGACTAAACAAATATACTTTTGGAGATTGTGAAGAAATAAAGAATATGAACGAAATACGACGAAGTTTTGGAGAAAATGGAAACAAAAAGGAAACTAATACTTAACACCAGGAAGAGACAGCTGAGGTTTCTAGAGCATATAATGAGGAAGGCGGGCTTGGAAAATCCGATACTCATAGGACAGAGAGAGGGCAAGAGAGACAGATTAAAGCAACACATAACATATTTAGTGAGCTTGAGTGAATGGATGGCGGAACAAGGCTTAAAATAACAGAAAGACAATATTTATTGAGCTACAAAAGACGGGAAGTTGTGGAAAGCCATGATCGTCTACGTTCTGAGGGGGACACGTACATTAAAGAAAACAAAAATCTTCATTGTTCTTACAACAACGGGTATTTAAATTACTGCATAGTTGTGTGTTCAGAGTTTAATGACTGATGTCGATGTATGTAAAAGTATAGTGTGAGGAAATCTTATTAACCATTGTCACAATTGATTAGCTTAACTGAAATTCTTATTTGTTTTTTATAAGACAGGTTAAGATGGGCTCGAGATAAGATTCTAGAAATGATCATCAGTTTTGCATATGATTGGACAGAAAATATTTATAATGATTTGCCACCAATTTTTATTAGTTATTGGACATTACAGTTTCGATTCTATTCGTTTCTTAAAACTACTTTTGTCATTTCCGCTTTTCGAAAGAAAAAAAAACATTGCCTAACGAGGAATGAAGACGAATAAGATTTTAAAGAAAAATAAAAGTGCGTTTTTAATTTTTTTTTTTAAGCTAAAATTTTGATTTCTTTTCATGGGAATATTTTATCCATGACTTTTTTCAGCTCAGCAATCTGGATATATTTTTCTCTAGAAAACGCAGAGCGTTTGCTTTTCTTTTTTTTTTTTTTTCTTTTTTTTTTTCTTTGTTTTGTGTCCGATTCCGTTTCCTTGCTTTTTTTTATGGCAGGTCTTGGGACAAAATTTGGATTAGATTTGCCTAAAATTTATTACAAAGGCGTCCACCAAAATACTATTTTTTGTTTTTGTTTACATTTCTTCGTTATTTTCTTATTTTCTTCCTGATTCATTTTTTTAATTTCCTTCTTTTATCACTTTTTTTTATTTCAACTTTGCTCCCCTTTCCTTTGTAAACCAGTTCCCCACTTACTTCTTTCTCCCCATCATTATTTCTTATTTTCATCATTGTTTCTTTTTCAATATCATTTCCCACAATTGCTAAGAGAAATCTCTGTAGCACCAATGCTAATCTCACATTCTGATAACATTTAAGAATGGTTGAAACAATTTAATCTTTCCTAGTAATTCATTGTAGACGAATCTTCTTTTAAAATGATTTTTTCCGTCACTCTCTTTTATTTGGATGTTCATATGAAGAACATATATATTTATAACTAAGTCTCCCAACAATAAAATTGTTTCTTAATAAACGTTCATTTTACTGATAACTTCCTTGTTGTAGGTGCATGGCTTTATACATTTTCTCTAGAAAGTCAGCTCAGCTATTTGGCAATTGGTAAAACAGTGATAAGCCTAATGCCTAATTCCAGGGTTACCTGGACATGGTGTAATGGTTAACAAGCTTATCTCGCCATATCCATTACAACAGAATAGTGAATTTGAGCGTCAATGAGTGCCCCATACTTTCGGACATGTGCCACATCTAAGCTATGCTTAGAAAATCACCATGAGGTCCAATTCCAGGGGAATCGTTATTCTAAAAAAAAAAAAATCAAAATACTTTCTTTGACGATCTTTCCTTTCATCGTCAAATTTATAGGATGTAAGTTTGCCTAAGAAATTTGCCTTCACAGAAACCTTTTATTTAAGAGATTTTTCTCTTCTCTCTCTTCTCTCTCTCTCTCTGTGTGTGTGTGTGTGTGTGTGTGTGTGTGTGTGGAGGTGGGTGGATGGATGGATGGTTCCTTCGTGCAATAATGCCAAGCGTAAGAAATTCAAGGGAAATAGATCTTTCTGAAGAGTTTTCATTGCTTGGTCACATGACATCTATCACCTGCAATAGTCGTATCGAATCTTCACGACAAGCAATCAGCAGTCCAAACACCTCTTTCCGGCAATCAAATAAAGCCGTCAAGCGCTCCGTAAATTGTACTGTTCACTTGGGCCCACGGGGTCTCCGGAATGGACGACTTTTATAACAGCTGTGGAAAACTCCGAATTATAGTAATCCTCCTTTAGTAAGAGTTAATTATACAAGTTTCTCTGTGATGACGACCTCACGGCAAGCTGGAATTTACTGTTCATTGGCTAATAAATCAGCGAATACCGACAATCGGACGAAGCAATTTTGGTCCACTTTATTTGTGGCCATATTTTCCCGGTATGTTTGATTTAGAAAATTTGTGTTTGGATGCATCGATATAAGGCGGTCATCACCATCATTGCTATATCTAGTATTACTGTATTCATGATCACACTTCGAATACACATATGTTCAAAAATTGTATTTTTGATGATGACTAGGTAAAATAACTAATCATATTCAATTAAAAATCATACGCCTTTTTACAATTACTATTAAATCAGAAAGATTTTTTTCACGAGTCCATCCTTCAAATCTATAAACCCACCCTTGCATGGAATATTGCTGTCATATATGGACTGGTGCTCCCGCTGTACGTCTCGAGGTACTTGACAAAATCCAGAGACGAATATGCAAAATGATAAGTCCTGATCTAGCATCTAGTCTACAATCGCTATCCCACAGACGTGCCGTGCGCCCCCTGTCTCTTCTAAAAATATTTTCACGCCAACTGTTCCAACTAGCTACTTTCGCTGGTTCCCGGACTAGATGAATATAAATGAGCTATCAGACTGGCATCTCGGTCTCATCCTTTTCACTGTCAAAACGGTTAAATGTAACCGACTCTTCTTCTCAAACATCTTTTCCCGCACTTCCCGTCTGTGAAATTCCCTTCTCCTTACTAGCTTATCCTATGACTATAATCTTCAAATATTCAATTGTAATGTCAATTGACATCTGATACCCTGAGCTTGTTTCCCGTCCTTCTCTGTATTCTTTCCTCAAACACGCCTCTTTACTCTTGTTCTCAATCCTCTGTAACCCCTTGCATGCTAGTGGCACTCCTGTCTTGCTTGGGGTGAATTGCCTAAAAAAAAAAGATCATAGTTTCAATCAGATTTTCGTTTTGTTGAAGAGTCACGACACGTAAAAGTAACCATTTTTAAGTACTGAAAAGCCGAGGACTTTCAAAATGTTCAGCTTTTTAAAAAGTTGAATATTTTTGGAGATTTTATACCTAAGACTTTACTTCATAAGGTCATTTTCTTCACGTTTATTTAATATGTTCTAGAATTTCCAGAGCTTTATTAACGAGTGGGGCTGAAGGAAGATTGTCTACGCCAGACTTCTTAATGAGGACAATCTGTCTGCCTTAAAACCATTCGAAACTCTATCTTTTTATCTGGTTCTAAACGGCTACTAGCGTCAGTAAGAAAATACTCCCCTATTTCATCTTTGATTAAAATGCTTGAATATATATATATATATATATATATATATATATATATATATATATATATATATATGTATGTATAAGTTGCAGGTATGCAGAAAATAGAAAAAGAACACGTTGGGTGCATAATCCGGAGTTCCTTAGTATTTTTGTTTTATTTTTAAGAAGACAGTGCTCCATACAGAAGTAGAGCTTTATTATTATAATAATATTTTTTCTTTAAAAAATATGATTCCTTCCTTCATATAAAGTTCTCATGTTTCAAAAACGAGAATCGAAAACCATCAAAATAATTATTAAAATTAAGTTGAATTGAGGTGCTTAGTCCCGTTTCATCTTCAAGCGAAATTTTTAGGAAGATTGAAGATGAAGATGAAACGGGACTAAACACCTCAATTCAACTTAATTTTAATAATTATTTGGATGGTTTCGACTCTCGTTTTTGAAACATGAGA